ATTTTCCCTGTCCAGTCTATCATTGATGGGCATTTGGGTTGGTTCCAAGTCTTTGCTAATGTAGACAGTGTTGCAACGAACATTGGTGTACATGACATTCTTAAGAAAGTCACACGTATATTTTATAATGTTATCACTGAAGTGGATTTTGAAAAATGAGAACATGAATACCTTTAAAAAGTATTCAAGGATAAAGAGAGAAAAATAAATTTGGATTGTATACATATGCAAAATGTACTTTAAAACACCAGCTTGTATTTTTTATTCCTTAAAAATAAGAAGCAGATATTTAAACTCCTTGCCTTTTATTTTAAAATTTAGAAAATGCTTACATCTTCCCACACTGAAATGTATACTAATGCAGCTAATCTAATCAAGGGATAATAAAATCAAAACACAATTCTCTGGACAAATATGTTTTCTTGTTTTTCAGACTAAACGTATGATCAAAGAAATAAAACTATTTGTAATTGATTCTGCTATTTGAAAGTATTTACTGATCACTTACCTTGCACCAAGTGATCTCCAGCTCTGAAGATAGGTCAGTGGAAAAATACACGTAGTTGCCCAGCTTCGTTAAGCTTAAAGTGTAAAGAGGAAGAAAAGAAGTCATTGATTAGGGACTTTAAAACAGGAGTGTTGTGATACGGAGGAATTCTGATTGCATACTGTGCTTGTTGTGTGGAGACTGGATTGAAAAATAGCTCAATGATAGAAGCTTAAATTCATATAGACTTTGGCTAGCCTGTAGTTTCAGCGCCCCTGAACAAGATTGTATAATAGTTCTCATTACTTCCCCCAATAAATCTCTGCAGTAGAGCTTTGGCCTTGTGAGAGAAGTACTACCGTCACCACGCAGTGAGGGTGGGAAGGTGACTTAGCAAATACCATCTGGAATTACTGCACTTTAAAGGTAAAGCTGGCAGGATAGAAAGAGGGAGAGAGAATAAGAACCAGACAGATACAGAATTTGAAAATACCATTTGGAATTACTGAACTTTAAAGGTAAAGCTGGCAGAATTTTCATACATGTCAGATCTGAAAATGTGTGCGTGTGTGTGTGTGTGTGTGTGTGTGTGTGTGTGTGTGAAGAGGAGAAAGAGAGGATGAGAACCAGACAGATACAGAGAGACAAGACAGAGCTGCAGAGACAGAGAGAATTAAAAGGGGACCCCAAGCATATCGAGCTGAGAAACTATAAAATGGGAGTAACTATTAAACAGAATGGGGAAGAGCAAGTTTGCGGAGCGTCAGTGGCTCCGTGTGGACTTATTAATTTTGACATTTCTAACAGACATCCAGGTGGAGAAGTCAGTGTTGGGTGTAGTCTGGTGTTATGGTATAATATAAAATATCGGGAAATGAATGACACAAAAATTCGTAAGAAAACAGAGATAAAGAGAAGTCAAACTCCTGAGCCTTGTGGTCATCTAACACTTAAAAAGTAGTAAATATGAGAAGAAAGCAGCAGAAAAGTCCTAAGGGTAATTATCAAAAACGTCAAGAGGTAATGCAGGGAAAGTGTTCTGGAATTCTATCAAAGAACGTTTTGGGAAAAACCGGAGAGATCCACTGCATTAAATGCTGCTGATACATAAATTAAGACAAAGGCTGAGGAATTATGCTTCAGTTCATAATTTAACAATATGGATTTCATTTGTGATTTGATAAGAGCAATTTTCTTAAAGTGAGTAGGTGAGAAACCATATTGGAGTGGTTTCTCAAAGGAATGTCTGGTCTCTAGATTCTTAAGGAAATTTCTTAGTGAACAGTGGAGGCACAAATGGGATTTTTTAATTCTATGGTCGGGACACACTTTAAACCCGTGCCTCTGCATGCCTTGCATTTGAAGGCCAGGTATTCCATTTTCCTTTAATAATAGATACAAAACCTAAACCCATTTAACTGACACACTTTACAAAGACTGGTACTAGAGGTTTTTGGAGAGGCTGTGGTTCTACATAGTATCTTATGAGTATCTGATGGGCAGGGAAGCTGGAAAAATGTCTTTGGAAAACTCACCATACCTGCTACATTTAAACATTCAGATGCCAATCACCTGAAATTCCATACATATTCCATATATATATTTCCACAAGAAAGCACCAGGGAACTGTATTAAAATATTTTTAGTTCAAATAATAAACTGGGTTTTCTGATTTGTTTTATTAGCAACTCAGTGTCTGCCTGTTTTCAGCAGTACAACCTCTATCTAATATATATTTTGTATTTTTAATCAACCACTAAGAAAAAATACACTATTTTACCTCAAGTCTATATATAGTGCCTAAAATAGAAAACGGGATTTTGTAGATTCAACAGAATTATTTGTTGAATAAATCATGAGTAACTTATTTATAGGGTCCATAGACAAATAACATATCATCTCAGAATACAGCGATAAGATTTGTTACGTAGAAGGTCATTTCAATCTCAGTTAAAAATATTTTGGGCATGTAAGTTACTGTCATATACAGATGCTCACATTGTTTATGTGAAAATGTTTGTGGTTAATGTGTATTTTTGGTCCTTAAGCCTTTTGGTTTTGCTGCCATAGCAGATAGTGTTCCTATTAAGAACATGAACCTGAATTTTACTTCATTGTTAACGGATTTCTTAATAAAATATATGCCATACTATTTTGTTTAATACATTAGCAGACAACGTGTCAGAAGCGAATACCCACCCACTCCACCGCTGTCACCCATACCTCTGATAATGCGGCTCCCGGAGATGTTACCGACAGCTGAGGACTTCGTGTTCATCCTAAGCACTTTAGAGCCCTTTCATTTTCACCTGGGCATGAGATAAAATAATTCAGCAGCAATACAGCTCACACTGCTTACAGAAT